GCTTAAAGTTCCTAAGGTTGAGGAACACTGGTCTAGATAGATGTTCATTAGAGAAGAAAGCAGGTTTGGGAGGAGTCAAGTACATGGTAGTTATGATGATAGCATTTGAAGGCAAGAGTCTTATTTTTCTCCCCTCTTCCACGCTAGCCCTTTTGCCTTCCATGATCGAGAGAAGGAAAGGCCACATCGTAACCATCAGCAGCGTTCAAGGCAAATTCGGCATGCCCTTCCGCTCGGCGTGTAAGCACTGCTTTCATTCGGGGCCCCGGTTGTGGTTTTGGGTGCTTTTAGGACCATTTTCATCTGGGCTGTCTGGGCGGCTTTATGTTTTTAATCGTTCTTCCTGGCTTTTTGGTTTCCAATGCCGCCCGGCGTCCATCAGAGTTGGGCAGCGATAATAAATTTGAAATGAGGCCACAGCGGCGGCTTTTGGCTGGACGCTGGTTAACTTTCCTCTCGCTAATATCATTGGAAAAAGCAACTTCATCAAATGCTGGCATCAACATGATACACTTTGCTTTTCTGTGGCCCCCTCACCACATGCCATGGCCCCCAGTTACGTGTTTTTCACCTGGGGCCTCCTTGAAATATCCTAAAGCCTCCAGGGAGTCATATGGCCCCCCAGTAGAGAACCGCTGCTCTAGACGCTGGCTGGAAAATTGCAGGTTGGTGATCAAGGCCCCCCACCCTTTGCCCTCTCCAGATGCAGCCTCGAAGCACGCAACCCAAGCCTTTTTTGACTGTTTACGCGCAGAAGTGGAGCAGTTCAACATCGAAGTGACGGTTGTGTGTCCCGGCTACATTCAGACGAACCTTTCACTTAACGCTGTCACGTCCGACGGATCCCAGTATGGAGGTGAGGATTGGTTTTGCTGTCAGGGTGCCGCCTGCTAATAAAGGGCGCGCATCGTGTTTCCTTTGTTCAGGCCCCCAAGCTCAGCAATGAAAACCACTGAACCAGTGGCGAGATGCCGAGTGGCGTGTGGGAGGCCAGGTTGTTCCCCACTGTGGGGGGCTAGGGGGCCCATCTGGAATTTTGCAGACACGTTATGGGCACTCCTCAGAATAGCTGCCAGAGCGGATGTGGCCAGTCATCGAAGCACACTAACCAGGCACCCAAATGGGGCACTGAGCTACCCACATCTTCATTCTAAGGACGCATCTGGGGTCTCCCTAGGCCTGAGGCATTGTTGGAAACGCAGATCATGTTTGAGGCTGGTGCCTTGTTTTTGCAGAACAGCTGCTTCCATTATAATTAAAGCAATATAAATTACGTTGAGCAGGGAACTTGGGGCGGGGGGGATTCCTAAAGACTCTTCCTTGCCTTATCCACGAGCCTAGCTTTCCAGCAGGAGCTGGCATTTGCAATCGCTTGTCTGCTGTAGCTCTCTGCTACTAAAGATGCTTGCTTCCCATCCTGTGCAGTGATAGACAAGACGACCAGCGAAGGCATGGCAGCTGCAGCTGTGGCTCAGGAGCTCCTCCACGCCGTGGGGGAGAAGAAAAAAGAGGTCTTGGTGGCTGGTTTCCTGCCTTCCCTGGCAGTGTACTTCCGATCGCTCTGCCCTGCACTCTTCTTCACCATCATGGCACGGAGAGCTCGCAAGGAAAAGAAGGTCAAGGGATCCTAGCCCCACGTGGACCTGGCTGTGTCAAATTGTGGACTCCAAACAGAAGCTCCTGGTTATTGTATCTTAGATCAGTGGAGAACTGCGAGAGCTCTTAATTTTACCCTTCTTTGCACTAAGAGCCAGATTTGACCTAGGGCAGCATTTCTCAACCTTGACAACTTGAAGATGCTGGCTGGGGAATTTTGGAGTTGAAGTCCACACATCTTCAAGCTGCCAAAGTTGAGAAACACTGGTCTAGGGGCAACAGTCATCACCAACTAAAAATCTTCAGGCACCGCAGAACACTTTATATGTACAGTGCAAGAAATCAATTCTAAGAAGTTCAACTCAGATTCAGGGAAAGGAAGCTGTATGCTGACACGTTTCCCAATTGGTCTTCAGAAGACAACATGCTATTAACGGCTCAATATTCTTGAGTTCTTTCTGATATCGCCTGTATTTCAAGCTATCTTTCACACTTATTTTGTAAACAAGAGAGGAAAAAAGCGAGTTGTCCGCAATAGGTATTAAAATATTCCAAGCTAAAAAGAATAGCGTGGATGCGATTCGTGGGAGACTTACAGGCATTTAGTATCCAAGATAGAAAAGCTACTTCATATATCACACTAAACCCTAATGGAGTTTGTTTTGACTAGTATGGTGTGCCAAACTCGCCCAGGGTTCAATAAACTGTGACTTAACGCAATGTGTAAAACTAGTCTTTATGTCTGTTTTTTCTCATTTAAAACATCTCAGAGCTTTACAGACATTGCCAACTTCAGACAGTGGCAAAACCTGCATGGTTCTGCTGACGACTGACTTCATTGCATCTGATGCTGGTCAGCATACTGGCTAGTAGAGCAGTAGACCTTTAGGAAAGCTGAAACTACTGGGGGGTGGGGGGGTTGAGCTTGCTGTTTATACCCTGAACGTACTTTGCCTCTTCTTGTCTAACCTTAGCAGTTTTCTAAAGCCAAACCTCAAGCCAGGTTTACCATTGTGAAATGCACATTATTTTAATGTGAAACCCGTTCATCGCTTCCCCTACTCCTCAGCCAGACAATCCAGACCCTTTTTAACATCTGCTGACACGTTCTGGGGGGAAAAAGCTGGTTACTATAAATAGCAACTATTTAATATGTTTACTTTGAGTTCAGTGAATATTAGCAATCGGGCCAAACAGAAGCCAGAATTATTTAATCGCTGTTTCTCTCACGTCTCGTTTTTAAGGGAATCGCTGCCCTAAATACTCGAGGAAAAGATATTCTATTACCTACCTGCTATTGTATGGAAAGAGGCTATAACAGTGGGAATCCACTGGGCTTCCTAATAGGTGCTGTGTCCAGAAAGCCACAGGAGCGCAACATTTGACCTAACTGCCCTACTGAAGAGTGCTTCTTCCTGCTTGGAGCTTGACTCGTCGTTCTAGATTCCCAAAGCTAAAAATAGCATCAACTTCTGGCTTTGCCCTTGTGGGAAGCCATTTCAAGGCCCCTCGTTACCATACAACAGTCAAATGGAAGGTACCTACCAAGCCAGTGAATATACCCGTATACAATTTAAATCACGCTTGCACTGAACAGGTGATCTTACCTTTCTGCGCAGCAGGTAAGAGTCTTTGATTTTTTTTAAAAAATGTATTTGTTTACCCTGTCCAGTTCTTTAATTTCTTGAAATTTTCAAACTGCTCTTGGCTCAGTTATTTACACACACACACGCACATATATGAAACAGATGTAACGGGCACCTAGGTCCTCTTTCCTCATATACAATACTGAAACGTACCAGGCATGAGGGATTTTTTACAAAATGATTAACGTTGTTTCATACCTGCAGAGTTATGAGAAGGGGCAAATTATTCTCAGCAAACTCAGCATCAAAGAACCTCCCCTAAGTAGCACCATCAGAGTTTTCAAGTTCACTTTAATTTAGTTAACAGATGCCTACCAGCTTCTCCTTAACCTGCTTTGTAAGGAAGATTCTAACTTGGGCATGGGAACCAGAAAAAACACTGAACTGCTATCCCTGTAGTTCAAATACCCATTAAAAATAGTGCTGGGAAAAACTAGTCAGATATTGCTAAAGCATGCTTTGCTTAAGCTATGGTTTGGTGAACAAGCAATAGTGGCGTGGTTCATATCCAACCTCAAGCCATAAACCAGTGTTGTCCAAACTTGGCCACTTTAAGATGAGTGGACTTCAACTCCCAGAA